TCTAATAATCGATTCTAATAAATGACAAATGTAACTGATTAGAAAATTTTGTGTTAATATTACAAATATTATTTTTTATATTTAGCAGTTCTAAGACAAATAAACAAACATACCAGTTTTAAAAACACAGTAGCGTCATTTAGCGAAAACAGCCATTTGTAGCATTTTTTATTTCGCCAGATTAACAATTCCCCAATAAATTACCGCAAAATTAAAATTTAAAGGTACTTTGTTAGTTAAAAATAGGACAAAAATAAAGACTACAAACATAACAAGAAACAAAATATCGTTTTAAAAGTACAGCAGCGTCATCTTAAAGAGACAATAGAGGAAGCTTAAAGTAACATTTTATTTTTTCGCGCTATTAATAATTCTCTATTTAATCATCTAACATATATAATAATTAATTTGGAAAAGGATAAAATGGAATATAATTTAAAAGACAAATAATATCAAAATTGTAAACAATTATTACTATGATAATAATTTAATGCCCAATATGAACTTCCACTCCCATTTTTATCCCTTTGGCACATTTTTCGGAATAAGACATAAGACAGACATATGCTGCCGCAGATATTTAAAGAGGATCAATTAAATAATCACGTAAGATTATTGTGTAACTTTAAAAAAAAATAAGTAAAATATACTCGCGTTTTTGTAACATTTTTCATTACTTCTTCACTCTTTTAAGTATATCCCCTTCTATTTCTATTTCTATTTTAAGGTATATAGCCTTCCTCGATAAGTAGCCCATTCAACTCAAAAACTATAATTCAGTTCGTTCTAGCAGAAGATTGAGATTTTATTGAGAGACCTGAGATTTTAGAGTTCAATCAATCAAACTCTTTAGCTTTATTATTAATATATATTATTCACATTTAAACACTAATTAAGAAACAATAAATTACAACCACTGAAAACTAAGTTATATTTACCAACAAAATAAAGGAAACTGTGGCCTCGTACATATAAAATATATACTCAACTTTTGTGATTACGATAATTTTTTATATAAACTTCATTGCATTTTCAAATTTTAAAAGTCGTGTTTTTCGATATCTCGCGTCGCCTCATTTCCATCATAATATTTACCTCCAAAATTTTACGGTTCGTAATATTATTCATAAGAAAAACATTCAGCTGGGTCTCGATCACAAACCTAATAACATAGAACCACCTCATTAAATTTACTTAGGACCGAGGAAGTTATTAATTTGTACCTGAAACTTGCGAAATTTGGGGTACAAAATAACTTTGCAAGTTGAGACGAACTGTTCTATCTACCAAAATAGAAATGTACTTTCCGAGAGTCACTGACAATAAAGGTTAGATGATAATGTAGCGAGGAGAGGGGATATTAATATTAACCTGAAATTTTGTGAATATCCACCACACATATAATGTTTACAAGCACCCTCATCTAGTTACCATTCAATATTTCCAGCAGGGTTAACTAAGATATTAAAGTTGGCAACAATTTTAATTTTATCTTAAAGAATGTAAATAATTATTTTTTCTTGAGTCTTCAACATATACGAGGGTCAAACTGAAAGTTCTTAGAAAATCAAAAACTGATTACATTAGCCAGTTATTAGTTTTATTATATCTTTTCAAAATATTGTCCATTCACGTCAATACACCGCTGCATGCGATGGAACCACTGAGAAAAGCACTTTGCCCACTCGTCCTTAGGGGTCTCTTCAATGGCATCGCGATACGCAGCCACCGCTTCTTCAGCATTCATAAACCGCTTTCCTTTAAGTTTTTCTTTAATTTTTGGAAATAAATAAAAATCACAAGGCGCGAGGTCGGGGCTATACGGCGGGTGACCCAGTAATTCAACGTTTGATGTCGCCAAATAGTCGATCGTTCGCTTGGCGGTGTGCGACGAGGCGTTGTCGTGGTGAAGGAGGATCTCTACTGCGAGGTCGTTTCTCTCGAACTTTTTCCAAGACAAGTGGCAAACAATTGGTAGTGTACCATTCTGCAGAAACTGTTTTTTGATCCTCTAACACAATTGTTGCAAAATGACCTATCCTTCCAAAGAACGAGGCCACCATTTTTTTTCCCGCACTTCGATCTCTCTTCACTTTAGTTGGCAACTCCTCGAAAGGAAACACCCACTGAGCAGATTGTCTTTTGGTTTTAGGATCATAACAGTAAATCCAGCTTTCGTCACCTGTTAGTATGTCGAACACAGCATTTGAGTCACCTCCGTTAAATCTTTCAATCATTTTACGACACCAATCCACACGATGGAGTTTTTGAGCCTCAGTCAAATTATGAGGTATCCACCGGGCGCAAAGCTTCCTGACCGCTAAATGTTCGTGGAGGATTTTGTGCACTTGACTCATACCGATGCCTAAGCTTGTCCGAATCTGTTGATAGGTCACTCTTTTGTCAGTCTCTATCATACGCCGCACAACACAGATGTTATCTTCAGTCGTCGCCGTAGAAGGCCGTCCCTCACGTAAATCATCAGTGAGATTAGTGCGACCACGTTTAAACTCATTAAACCAGTTGTAAACAGTCGCACGAGATGGGGCTTCATCGTGAAAGGCCAATCGTAGTCTATCATAACTTTCTTGTTGACTTAAATGACATCGAAAGTCATAAAAAATCATTGCACGAAAATTTTCTCGTGTTAAATTCATGATGACGTGACACAGACAATTTTCAATTTGCCGCCAAATCGTAAAACAAATGACAAATGAATGAAATATATACTCAGTAATATTGGCAAAGAGTTATATTTTCAAATTTTAGAATTATTTTTTTATTATATTGTTTATAAGTGGCCAGTTCTAAGAACTTTCAGTTTGACCCTCGTATATAGGCTACTACTTTTAAATTAATTTACAGAAGAAATGCTGAATCCGTGCATGTATTTTAATTACTTACCAGCACACTAACCATTAATTATTGTTACTGTACCAAAACCAAAAACGTTCAACTTTCTAAGTTAGTAAATTAAGTTAGCCGCTTCCACTAGGAATGTTTGAAGTAGTCAATCAATGTATTAGGGCAATATAAGTTGAGCCGAGTAGGACCAATCAAGACAACCGTTATCCCTTAAAATATTCGCATCCTGTCTTACGTCATGAATATTCTGTGTTGGGTCGTAGATGAGGTCACCGTAGCGGTCTACACGGAGGTCACTGGCCGGCAGCAGGGTCTTACACTCAGCGTCGAAACGGAACTGACCCTGGTACCACACAAGGACTGTAGCAAATGGACAAAACACGACAAGTGTTTATACAACACGGTGCTTGGATGTCGATTGGTGAGCTGAAGCTATGTTGTCATTTCTCTGTTAACACATTCAGGTTACCAGTCGATTTCCACCAGTGCAACATATAAAGCAAGTTGAACTTAAAAATAAACTATAAAATAAGAGCGGGCGGCGCGGCATGCTTACACGCTTGCATGCTTCAATATCTACGAGCAGGGACGCATGAGCAGCGGCAACTTCGCGGGCTTCGTCAGCCATACGCCTTCCTCGAGGCGTAGAATCTTCCTTCACAACTACACATGCTTCTTCGTTTCCTGTCATCGTAGTATCTTCGTCTTGCGAAGCGGGTTCGAAGGACTGAGGTTCGGGAGGCGGGGACGAGGTCTCTGGGTCAGATGGGAAATCAACGCTTTCAAGCTTTGGAGCGGTTGTCTCGCTCACCCTTTTATGGTTCTCCGGCAAACTGATGTTGCATTCGTTGTCGAATCGAAATTGACTCTGTGTCCATGGTTAGCAAAAAACAAATTTTTTCAATGTTATTTATTAAATAAATAAGCACAAATCATGAACGTCAAAAATACACAACAGATGTTCTGTGATTAATGTAACTTGTTTACGTAGGTATCTACTAGTGATGTGACGAATATATGCATTCGCATTCGCAATCACGAAATCGAAATTCAACACGCACATTTTTTAATATTTGCATTCACATTGTACACATGTTTTGCGAATATGAGTATTCGCAGAAAGTACTAGGCCGATAATATAAAAAAAATCCTATATTGTTATTAGAACCTGAAAGATAATGTCGATGAAAAAATCAATACGAATATGATTCACTGGTTCGAACGTGTGGAAAGAATGGTGAGAAAACTGAAACACAACGCGAGCTTGGTAGGTATAGAAGCCGAGGAAGGCAACGAGACTTCTTTCATAATCAAATGATCGCATGCTGTTAGAAGGTGATGCTAGAAGCCATAAAAACCTGCGAGCATATATGAAGAGTAATGAAAGTGGTGGAGCCTTGTGGCACTTGGTCCTCTTTGTCTACCCTCTTCAAGGGATACGGCATGAAGATAACTATAGGTAGATAAGACTTAGAAAACAATAATTAATATTAGAAACTAAAAGTACCAATCATAGACGATTGTTGCTAAAATAAAATGAAAAAACTGAATATTCGCATTCGCAATGGTGGATATAATTATGCATATTTGCAAAAAAGAAATTCGTTACATCACTATTATCTACCAAATCAAAAAATTACATACCACCTCTATATTTATTTCACCATATGTTTTTATTAGATATATATCTGAGGTTTTGAATTCACTAATATCGCCGTCTCATCAATCGTAAATGTTTGCAACTCCAATCTCCAACATGGTAGAGCACCTATCAATAATAAGTAACCCACCTTATAGCCTTGTCCGAGCCTGTGCATGGTGCAGATCTGTTGCTTGGTGAGTGACTCCTCGAACAGGTATATTGCCGCCATTTTCCCATTCGAATACCAACAAATGTTGATATTCGCATTCGCAATTGTGGATATGTAATCGCACTCGCATTCGCATTCGCGTTAAATATTAAAAAAATACATTCGTTACATCACTAATATCTACCAAATGAAAAAATTTAATACCTACACTATTTTTAATCAATTAAATGTTAGGTTTTGAATTTAAAGATATAACAGTTTCGTCAATCATCAGTGTTTGCAACTTCATTGTCATAGAGCATCTGTCAATATTAAGTAACCCACCTTATAGCCTGGTCCGAGCCTGTGCATAGCGCAGATCTGGTGCGTGGTGAGTGCCTCTCCGAACAGGTATATGGCCGCCATTTGTCCGCAGAACACCCGCTCCTCATCCAACTCCGCGGTAGCACCGATGTAGCACTTGTCGAACGGCTATAAAAACATTATATCCATTTACCAATTTATTTTAACATGCTAGACGGAGAACTCGTGAACAAAAACGTGGAAGAGTTTCATATAACTACATCACTCAGTACTGTAACATTGATGGAGGCGAACAAAGTTCTAGCGATCGCTGAAAGTGTTTCTTAAACTTAATGAAAGTTTGGGATTTTTTCTGCACTAATTATTTACCAATTTAATATTCAACTATTACGGCACTCTATTCTGAAGCTCATTTTCGTACCAATTTCTGATACCTACAAGTCAATTGTATAGCTAAAGACTTTTTTTAATATCAAAAATAAGTTTCTTGCTAATTTTTACTATTAATAAGCACTTTTAATTTATTTTATTTACTTCATTTTTTGCCACTGAAACCAGGTGTTCTAATACCTGAACTCTGCATTGGGTACTGAGTGATACATTGTGTACATCATTCAATCATTTGCATTTGAATTGTTTAGAAAAAATCCTGTGTCTGTATCATGTCTATTTCTTAAAATTATGCTTCATCATATATATAAAGTTCCTAGCGTTATATATTATTTTTTCATTTTTAAACAAATCTGTTTTGGTTTTTGTTTATTTTTTTTTAATTTGTTGCAAATAATTCGATATCGCATTTTTAGGTTCCCTTTCACAACCCTCAAATATAATACGTAGAAATGATAATAATAATAAAATATGAAAAACATAACATTGCATATTGTATAAAATGTACTCGCAGACAAAAAATATAATTTGTAAAGACAATAGTTACAAAACATCGGTCAACCAACAAAAATAAATATATGTCGGCGAGAAGGTGATTCGATTGTGCGAAACGCCATCTGTCACCTGCAGCTGTCATCTATCAAGATCTATGGTGCTTTGCGAAACGTCAAGTTATGACATTGACGGCTGTCATCGCTTGGGAGTGGTCTATGCTTGTTCGAAGATGGCACTTTACGTTGTGCGGCCATATTGAGCGGACGCAAGCGCAGAACTCTCCGCGTTTCGTATCGCAATCCGTTTGCATCGAGTTATTATTAATGTACTCCGATTAGATAATTAAGTAATTCAACTAAATAACTGATTTGTGATCTATATGCGATCTTATTTCGAAGGAATATCTCGACCACTAGTCAGATTGCGGATGTTGACTAACCTAACTTTCCGCCGGCCCCGCATGACTTTCCGACATCAGAAGTTGGGATGTAACCTACCAAGTGGACACACAGATGTCATGTAACAAAATCAAAACTTTCTCGCCCTCATCTACGTCATAACTTGGCCGTCGTCGAATCACATGTGCATCTGCCCGAATTCGATCCTGACAAAATACAAGAAGAATCACTTGAAGCCTTTGTAAGAAGAACCAAGCGTTCCTAATATGAAGAACGGTAACCCGAACGCTGCTGTCACGTGCTTCAATTGTGGAACTGAAGGTCACTACTCTCAAGATGCCTGTAGCCGAAGAAGATGCAACGGTGGCAAGCCTGATGGCTCGTCTGCTGGGTTTGATAGTGAGCGACGTATGGACGTCTGCATAATTGCTACCCTTGCTAGTATTTTGCAGCATTTTGGTGAGTCGTTTTCATTTTGTTTTGATACTGAAGTCGAGTGCTCCCTTATAACGTAATTAATATCGTGAAGAATTCATGGCAATCGAATTAGTAACACTGTTAAAATTACTGGTATTGGTGATAGGAGTGTTTATAGTATCGTGCAGATTTTAGTTATGGTTCAGATTGACGATATTGCTTTTTAATTTCTTTTTCATGTTCTCCTGGACCTTCAACTAGTTTTAATTAGGTAGTTCAACAAAACTTATTCTTTGTAACTGTTTTTTCTCTCCTATTTTTTTGTAAAGCAGTGGTATGTAAGTCGCTCAGGTTGTTTACATCTTCCGGGCCTTCGTAGTCGTAGGCGTAAATCGGGCTAGATTTCCCGTCGCATTGCGGCCACGTTTGTGAGTGGCGTGCGTTGGCTAGGAGATGTAAACGATCGCTGTTGGTTCGTCGCATAGAGACGACGATGAGTATTTGTGTATGGGTACCGGATGGAGGTCACCCGTGGATGTGTTGTGTTGTGGAAGGGTACCGGATGGAGGTAACCCGTGGATGAGTTGTGTTGTGGAAGGGTACCGGATGGAGGTCACCCAACCACGTGATTGTTTTGTGATGACCGGATGGAGGTTGTCACAAGGTGCTGGATGGAAGCATCTGAAATTATAGAGTATTGCATACGTCACTGTTTTACTATGTTACCCACGATTACCAATTTAATTTAGAAAGCTAATTTGTCTGATGAGTTTCGTTGAACTGTTAGTGATCGTTTACGTAAGATGCCAGAGGGACATGTACCAGTCGAAGTCGAAGTGGAGTTTAATGAAATGTCTGATGATAATAAATTAGTTTAATTGGTAATGTGAATGCGAGTAAGAACTCTACCGGCCGTAGAAAGTCGACCGTACTAGTAACTAATACGTAGCCGTAGCCCGTTGGAAGTCGGTGTCTCTTGAGGCAACTCAAGTAGTCCGTGGGTGTGCGGTGGGCGTGTAGTACTAGCGGAGGTCGTGGTCTGTATAGACCGTCTCGTGTGTAGTCTAAGAGAGATGCACATGTGCGATTTACAATGGTAAATGCGCGTCTGTGTGAGAGAGTTGGTGATGACTCGTCGGCTATGGAGGCCGTGGCGGTAGAGATATTTACTCGGGTATTTTGGAAGTTAATATGTTAGTGTTTTAAGTTGATTTATTGCTAGATTGTTTTGAATTATTGTGAGATAACGATGGTACATGACTCTTCACAGTTTCAAATTTAATTTTAATGTAATTTAATGAAAGTGTAAATTGATCAGTTAACAATCTAAAGAAACTTAAAGTAAAAACGGTCTCTAATTATTAAAGTTTCGATTGGTTTCAAAATCTTGCTCTAGTTGAAGTCAGGACTGACCGAGTAAAGAATCTACTGCGCTGCATATTTTCCCTTTCAGATTGAACCCCCACGCGAGGATGCGTGAGGCTATCAGAATAGCCGTTTCGCAGAACATCTCCATCACCTTTACGAAGATCGTTTGATTTAGTTTCCTTTTTTTAAATTCTTTTTACTCGATTACTTAATTACTTGATTGTAAAGAAGGCGTGATCATCGATACTTTTAATTTTATTAGAATGGTAACACTGACTTTGACAGTACGATAGCGTAAAGCAAGTTGCCGCCATTTTGGCACACATGAGTCTCTTATGCATTTGGGCTGGGAGAAAACTATGGAAAAGCATTAACCACTATTCAATAGTCAAACATTTAATTTAATTGTGTGTTCGCATTACATCATTCGTATTAGGTGATGTGACGACTGTTTGTGAGGTATCGTCACTTGGAGGTGGCATGAGTTACGTCACTCGTATTAGGTGATGTGACGACTGTTTGTGAGGTATCGTCACTTGGAGGTGGCATGAGTTACATCACTCGTATTAGGTGATGTGACGACTGTTTGTGAGGTATCGTCACTTGGAGGTGGCATGAGTTACATCACTCGTATTAGGTGATGTGACGACTGTTTCTGGGGTATGTCACTTGAAGGTGACATGAGTTACATCGCTCGAATTAGGTGATGCGACGACTGTGATTAATAGAGTTGATGATGTGCAGAGTAGAGAGAATGATTAAATTTGTCTGACTGACTGAAGTGACTTCGTTTTGTTACAAAATGAAGAACGTAATCAGACCAAACTAGATCTAAAATACAAGGGACCGTTTAAGGTCATGGAGTTGTTAGATAGTGATCGTTATTTGTTAAAGGCGTTAAATTCTAAGAGGACGTACAAGTGTGCTCATGATAGACCGAGAAGGATGCCTGAAGGTCAGTTGGTTGTAGAAGAATTGTGGATCAAAGTGATGATCTTGTGTTCGAAGTTCCTGGCATATCGCGTGATTAAGTTGGGTAAAACTCGGTGGAGGTGTTACTTGAGCGATCAATGGAGTTGCTCATGGGAACAATGCTCGATGGAGGCATTGGTTGTTTATGTGCTCGATGGAGGCACTGGTAGCATAACGCTCGAAGGAGGCGTTTTGCTTGTGTTGTTAGAGACACGAAGGGAATATAATGCTCGATGGAGGCGTTATGTGTCTTGATGTGTGCACACTGTATATAATCGCGATATGTGTTCAGTTGTGTACTGATGAGTGTAAGACTTGATTTAAAGTTTGAACGTCAGATATCCTTCGAAGTTGATTTACTAAGGCATTACAGTATTTGTACATAGTTGTAATCAGTAAACTTAGTTTGTGATCGGTGTGCTTATGTGACCGTATTTTTACTGGTCAGAGATGACCGAGTGATGGCAAAGGCTACTGGTAGTGTTTTCATTTTTAGACTCACACGAGGACGTGTGATGCAGCAGGATGGCCGTGTCGGCGAGAACGCGCATTCGATTGTGCGAAACGCCATCTGTCACCTGCAGCTGTCATCTATCAAGATCTATGGTGCTTTGCGAAACGTCAAGTTATGACATTGACGGCTGTCATCGCTTGGGAGTGGTCTATGCTTGTTCGAAGATGGCACTTTACGTTGTGCGGCCATATTGAGCGGACGCAAGCGCAGAACTCTCCGCGTTTCGTATCGCAATCCGTTTGCATCGAGTTATTATTAATGTACTCCGATTAGATAATTAAGTAATTCAACTAAATAACTGATTTGTGATCTATATGCAATCTTATTTCGAAGGAATATCTCGACCACTAGTCAGATTGCGGATGTTGACTAACCTAACTTTCCGCCGGCCCCGCATGACTTTCCGACATATATATTTTACATCTACACCTTTATTTTTGTAACAACCTTTTATCTCTCTGCACATATGAAACGATAGTTTTGTAATCTATTTCGACTCCTACAATCAGAGATACTAATTTCAAAACAAGAACAGCGATTTCACGCTTCCGTATGAAAGGGCACAAATAAAGAGACCCAAAGCCCTTTGTTCTATGGATGCTAAAGTAAATATTTTTCGATTTGATACAAACACACTGGAAGTGGATGCCGACCGAGGCGAGCTTAGTACGACGATAAGCAAATTCTCAAAAGCTTTTATAAGATTTACAGAGTTAAACGATCTCGGAACGACCGAACTGGAAACATAACGAGATATAAAATTTCCGCTTCATTTTTCAAATTGAAGAAAATATTTGTATAAAAATACACTGGCACTCAATTCTACTATAAAACATAGGTATAATTATGCGATGAATATGAATGCTAGTTAAATACAGAATGACTGTTAGACCCACATAACAAATTGCAATATTTAAGGAGGTACCCAATTATCAATGTATTTTAACCAGTGTAAGGCAAAAAAATTTAAGAATCATATTTATTTTATTAATGAATATATTTACGAATATAAATATTAATTTTTACATCTTTTCGTACAATTAATTTAAGTGAATTTGATATTTTTCTTCACACTATCTATGCCTCGCAGATATACCCCCCGTTACCTAATCTCTAATTATCTTAGAGTGATATTAAACAGTCTACATAACATGTATTAGTTTCCTTCGAAAAAAACATATGAATTTACCTCACTACTTATAAAACTAGGAAATGAATCACATCCGTAGACTCGTTTGAGAGATTAACTCGTTCAAACGAATTCCATTACTCTACTATATTAAAGCATACATTTATTAAACAAACAAGGTTTAATGGAGTGGCACATCACAATCTCTATTGACAACTATGATAAAGGAAATTCACAAACTATGCGAGGCCACGTACTAGCCATGTGAATATTCATGCACAATGCGCTCAGTGCAGGTTCAGCTTAGTTAATTTCCACTTTCATATTAAACACACGAAGCTTAAACTATCTATGCAGAAATATTATTTCACAAATGTTGGTCTGAGAGTCAAAGAGAATAAGTTGCTAGCTGACCCATGTTGGTAAATGAAGTTCTAACAACATTCAGTAGGTACCCACTAAATTGATACCAATATTTATATATCTTCAAGTCAGATATCTGATAGACAGAGATAAACACAAATTAGGTGTATTAGCCATAATCGTTATTGCCATTACCATAAGTAATAGAAGTCTCATCAAAACACTGCGAAGCAACTAACAACTAAGCAACGGTTGAGATAGAGATTATGAAAAACTTGAGTTGGAGCCATGTTAAAATGAAGATCGAAACTAAAAAAAAAATCTAAAAGATCGTTTACTCCAAAGTAATCAAAACCAATTATTTGTTGACTTTAGCGTCACCAGTAACTATGGTTGAATTGAAAAGTTAAACGTTCTTAATGAAAAATTCTTAAAAATTCACTTTGTCCCTGGCATTCTGAGATGGAATGAGAATGTTTTTTAGTATATTTGTTAGTATATAATATATATCATAGTGAATTATAGATTGATCAAATACGAGTATAATAAATTAGATGTTATAAAAGTAAAAATAATAAAGGAGATTCCTTAATGTTGTTTTCTTCAAAAAAACTTATTTAAAAAAATATATATAATAAAAAACATCACGCCCACTTTCCAATACACCGGATATCAGATCCCATGATTTATCCGAGGTGTTCATATCGAATGTCGGCAATATTATCTCCGACACATTCATGATATCCGCGTAGGAGTGAGAAAATTTGCATTCATTACTTGCAATAAATTCCAGTAACGACACGCACGTGACGAACGGAAGGCACAAGTTGGAAGTCTTGGAAGGCATGTTCCTTCTTGATAACGAAATATATTATGCTAAACCCTTCCCTCGAGTTATGGACGCCTAGTACTCGGGACAGGATTAAGGAGTAACATCACTGGCTGCTTACCAAACACTGTCTATTATTGATTGAAAGTATGAATAATTATCATTACAATAATTAGATTAAAATGAAAAGGACAGATATATAAATAAAGCATCTACCTAATTCATATCCCGTTGACTACCTTCTTTTTAATTTAAATAAAAATTCATACTTTCTGTCAACAAGAGCCTGTTTGCGAGCTTCTCTGTGTTTCAAATTTTTATGACGTTTGTCACTTTTAAGTGATTATCTTGTTTGCTGTCTGTCTTACTGCTATTGTGTTGTGTGTTTGTACGTGTCTTTTAAAATATTTATTTTTCTGTTTATTACTTTTTACTACTCAATCTCCTAAGCTGACTTACTAGAAGATGAAGTTAATTTATATAGTTATAATAAAATAGCATTGCAATCTCACGTTTTGCATAAACACGCCAGCATAATGTTATGATTATTATAGAAAACTTAGATAACGAAAAAATTGTTACCGAAATACTACAAAAATGTTTTCTGCGCTTATCTGAACGGAAATCAAACCTTAACATCAGATGACATACCAAATTTTTGACGTGTTACTTAATCGAGGAATTTAGTTAATATTGTTTTAAAATATCAATTAGAGACAGGAATACACGGACCAAAATATATGGACACAAATCGACGAAAACTGAATTTGTGTTTGTACTCAAACTTAAACAGATGTTTAGAGAAATCTCTTACTCTTACATTCTTATTACTTAACAATGGTCTACCCTTTTTATTATTACAGTACCAAATTATTGGAAATATTTTACAAACAAGCTGATACTCACGTCATTAGTAGACACGAACCAGGCCATTTCCGTACTGGAGGCGAGCTGTCCGTTCACCAGACATTTGATCTCACTTTTCGTCCATCTGTTGTATATGTACACGACTGCTATCGCATACCACCTAACAAAATAATGAATACAGATATTAATATTATTACCTGTACGGGATTCATTACTATTTGGCCAAACAAACAGAGTTTATGTTAATTATATTACGTTATTTATAATTGATTGAATACGGAGAACATCCCTATATTCTACCACTCGAAAATTCTTAAATCTTTAAATAGAGACGTGAACAACAGACCCTTCTTTATTGTTATAAATAGTAACTGGTTAAATATAATTATATATAGATGACTTACCTTCTAGGTTGGAATTCATATTTGACGCAATGCTGAAAGCCCTTCCCACGGACTTTCATTGAAGTTAGCACAAGACAATTGCCAACGAAGTGAGCCGTGTATCCAACGCCTTTACTCGTTTTGAAGCTGTAGGCAATAATTGCTAGCAAACTTAAATTGCCTTGTATATAATATTTTTGTTAAAACTATAGCAAAATTGAAGTTCTGTTTGAGAGAAAAGGAAAAGTAAAATGCTGTTTTATTTTAATGCATTAAAGTGAGTTGAAATCCATTTTCTGTCTGACGATGACCATAACAGAACTCGCACGTAATGCAATAAGTCATTTTTCACTTAGAATCATAACCCAATAGAAGTGTACTGAACCGACCGGAACTCATTTCAATTTGCGGTAAACGTATACAAAGCCAAGTTTGATTTGAGCGTAGCTACCAAGGCTGCATAACCGACCAGCAAATACTCGCAACGTTCGTCTGAGCCGCTCGGATCATATTAAAAATTACTGAAACGAGAGCGATACACACCAGCAATGTAAATACATATAGTACGCATGAGCCATCAACAGGTACTGGAATTTATCTAGACAGCAAACGATACAGTTTGTAACATTCAGAATTATTCATCTCACCAATATTATATACCTAATCTATACCCAAAATTAAATAGGTGGGTACGATGTTCCGTATAGTTAGTGTTAGGAATTATGTAGATATAACGATTATTCGGCTGAAAGTGATTGTAATAAAGACAGACCAGTAAAGGTAGGGCTTTTCTCTTTCAATGTTGACCGAGTTGATGGGGTCGAGCCGGAACCACGTGGTGAATGTGAACCCATTCTCATATGGCCACCTTGCTAACGGGGGCAGTACTACGGCCTGTCAACAACATACAGAATAAAATATTAATAATTATTAATAATAGGGAACAGAGATGTTCCGAAGTCCGAATCAGAAAGTATTTTTGTTACTGTACCTAAGTTTGATTAAGAATAATTAAGTTAGAGTTTGATTAAGCCATTTACATGCTGTTTTGATCATACATATAATATTAGAAAACTTATTATTATGAACAAGTCTCAAAAAATTACACTATATTGTAAATTATTAGAGGGTATTTAAATCGCTATTTATCCACTATAACTGTAAATGCTGTTACTGTTACTGGTTCACAGAAAACCATCCATCGAATTTAAATACATTTTGACACAATGTCTATTAGGTACTACGAGTATAATTATCCCATTAAAAGATTTTATTCTCCATACAGAGAAGTAACAAACATATAAAAAGCCAGATTTTTGACATAATTGACTGCAAAGTCGATAATTAATAAATACCTGGGATTGTTTTCGGTATAATAAAGATACTAATCTGGATATAACAAAGTAAAGCTGAAACACTCCAAACATAAGATATAAATCAACGATCCAAGAGTCCAAACGAGTAATTTATGTTTTATTATTAAAAGCTCATTTTTTTTTCTGGCATTTGACCAAGATCATTTGACAGCTTTGGATGACACACCTGTGTATGTGTACTCAATAAACTGACACTTTTTTTACTTTAATGTACTAATTTTCCAACATATGGCGGTAGCCCTAGCAAAGCAAAAAGTAATTTTCCGCATCAAAACAGTCAAGTTTTGGAACTTTACTCGGAGAAATCCCTCTTCTAACGCGATACATATCAATAAGTCATATATAACAGGTAACAGAAGAGGAAAATTATTGAATATATTGATAATCATTTTTTAAAATAAATAAATTATAGATAAAATATATAGTAACTTGAGTTACAATGACATAGGTAGTAATGGTAATAGCTAGGCTGGATATTGGTAACCAGGGCGATGAGGGAGGGGGATTCACGAGTTGAACCATCGTGGTGATTCACGAGCGTTCAGCCCAGGTGAATCCCTCCATTAGACGGGTTAGGGTTGGAGACGCCCAGTTGCTCATCTCTTACTCTTGATGAGTAAGACTCGAATGTTCCCGATCTTAACCCGTGGTGCGAACCGCCCTGTAAAAGCGGTGGGCCATAATCGGGACGGTATGCGCGGGAAGTGGTCCCCTTGAGACCGTTACCACGCGTCGTTCCCCGTGGAGGAAAATTGTTGTGTTTTAGGCGGTATGCCTCTGCTTTTTGACTAGCCCCCATTTTGGGAGTTGGTCCGCAGGGGAGAGCCCCACATAACTCATGAATCCCGCGTAGAGTGAAGCGAGGATGCTTAAGGCATTTCTCAGCGTCAAAAAAATTCTCTATTTATGTATTTCCATATCCTATTAGCCTTGCAAACATTAAAGTCGGAAAAATGTATGTTCGTTTGTTTTTTACTCACGGCAGTTTTGGATGTACCAATACAAGACTATGATCTTGAACAAAACCCGAAATTTCAAGCGAACTACATCACAGTCACATTTTTCTCATCAATCTTATGTCCTATCAAAATACAATTGTGTAGAGTATCATTGGACAGGAGTATATACCTATACAATTAATGTATCAAATGTTTCCACAGGTGTCATTACAATATTCTTGGTTACATGTGTGACACTCATTATTTTAACAATGATTATTATTTGAGTTTGCCCACATCATGTATTATTTATTTCATGCCAGTCATAATGCTCATATCACTTGATTATCTGATATAATAACAACTCTATTAACTTATTGGGATAAAACGATGATTATAGCACAAGAGTATTTATCCATTTCAACAGAATATTAAAGTCAGAAATCACTTGATAAATTATTTGTAAAGACTTTTGCCCGGTGAAAATCGGTATCGAAATTTAAATTGTTATATTCGATGAAAATCTTATCTTACTTCGTTTGAATAAACTATTACTCTTGGTTGATTCTAACTTGAGAAGAAACGGTTATAAACGAGACTCCATTTATCGTTTGTAAAGCAGCCTAAACCTCAACGTTTAGAGATCGATAAATACGAATACGAGTGAACATTGTCAGTGTTCAGTTGAAGTGACATTCCCTTATTGGCGATTCTTATTCAAATACGGAGCCCGGCAGGCGTAATCCGTGTGACATACTAGGTTATCTGTATGTTCGTTTTTCCTTATTTATCGCCATCTCGCCGAAGGCCGGTCCATTTCTCTCTGTCGCACTTATCCAGAGATCTAATGGCAGCCTCACGCTTCTTAGTGACGTCTACTGTTCTGGTACCCTAATACTAGATAACACGCTCACTAAGAGTGATTTATACACATTAATCACATTATGTACGCCTGATTAGGATTTATAAACGTTCATTATTAATAAAAAGCGTTGCCTTCTATCATATTATATATTTTCAGATCAAATAAAATATAATAATGATCCTAATCAAGCCTATTGAAAATGTGCAAAATGATGGGTTATTAATCATCCGTCACCTTTTTGTATGTAAATTGGGTATTGAATGAAAAATTATTGTTTTAGTCATCTATGTATTTTGCCGTAGTCTTCAGTTACATTAGCATTATAACTCTTGCTTATAGCCACCCAGAAACAAAACTACCAGAAATTACTATAGTATTTGCTTTATATCATTACTAGATTATTCATTTCACAATGTCTACTAACTATAGTATTTGCTTTATATCATTACTAGATTTCTAACTTAATATCACTTTACACGGTTCAAAGTTTAAAAAAAGTGCCACTATCAGATAATATTAAGATACTACGTCAGTTTTCACTGTCCATTGAATACCAAAGACAACATAACATATATAATATGTTCACTTTTGTAAACACCATAACTTACATTTAAAGAGAAAGATAAATCATTAGGGAATAAAGTAGAAGTTTTAATTCATATGGATACTATTTTTATAATATTTTTATACTTAATTCCTATAAGATAATGATAAACCAGCTATTAAGATAAATCAGCTTTATGTAAACTAAGACTAATATTTACGTCGATGCACTAGACTGAATCCTGTTATCATAGTAAACCTACATATGTAGTTAGCCTCTTTGGAAACACGAGAAAAGGTTTTCCGCGTACTGAAAAATATTTTTCTTTCGGATTGCTTCGGATTATGTACGGAAAAAGCCGGAATACAATCATTCCCTTCCTCATAGATATTACAATAAAAGGGTCTTTTTTAATTACCCTTTAAACGTATTGTTCTCTTGGTATAAGACTTTTTATTAGTCGGATGATGAAATACTTCTATTGCTTGGGCGGTTATGATAAATTGCTCTCATATCCCACTGTAATTGAAAATCTTACTTTGTATTTTTAATCAGAAACGCATAAGCTGTGGTGATGAGCACTTTTTATTTTGTTATTAAAAGCGCCACAATCCCAGACCTCGGGCAATATTAGACACAGATTTTATTTATATATTAACTGTTTTCGAGCGACTTCTCCCGCGTAAATTATAGCCAATGTAAGCTTCCGCTAGATAAAGAATTTTTAAAATCGGTCCAGTAGTTTCGGAGCCCATCCAGTGCAAACAAACAAACAATCAAATCTTTCCTCTTAATAATATTAGTATAAAAAGGTCCGTTAAAAATAATTCGTCTAATTACCTGCACTTATTTGGATCGCATCTACGCACATTTATAGATAAGTTCAAAATAAATGCTGCAATTTCAATATTATAAAATCTTGATATCACCAATTACCGCATGTAATACAAGAATTCTTTTTGGGTATATCACTTTATAGGTACATAGTTTAGTTAGTCTATTACAACCCTACAATACTTGTTAGTGAGCTATATTTATCTAGAAATATAAATAAAAGTCATTGTGGTCTTGCGTAATATGATAATGTTTAAAAAAGCTAACATTTCTTTGAAAAGAAATGCCATTAGTAAGATAATTTAATTAGAAGCTCTTTCGAAAACGCCCTCTGATCGCGTTGTTTAAATAATTATCCAACGTCTGTTGGAGGTCCAGTTTAATTCGCTTTCTTCGGGAAGAATGCTCTTTAATCTGTGCTGAACTTGTATATTTTTTAAAACAAAATAAAGTAATTAGTTTATGAATATCTATGCCTATACAATTATGGTTGTACTAGTATTACCCATGAAAATTTAAAGAATGGTGGTGATTTGCGAAAAATTATGAAATACTAATAATTTATAATTTATAACAAGGAATTCCTATATCAATTTGAAGACTTCTAGCATCATAATTTGCGGCAGTCTGATGCAAAGTTCCTCTAAAACTGGATCTTTCCTCCCCTATTATCTTCCAAAATATAGAAAATAGGGGAGGAAAGATCCAGTTTAAGTTTTTTTCAGTTATGAGAACTAATACCTTCTTACATATCAAATTTCAGCATTCTACGACTTCAGCAAGTATAGGTTTTATTGATCATAAGTGACTGCGTGTATTAGTACTGAATGAAACGTTTAGGCTATTCCACCAATATTTTTAATCAAATCTACTTAATGATATTTCTATTAAGATAACTACTTTCACTCACTCGTTTTAAAAAATTCGAATTTTGTGTTAAATTAAGACCTCTGCAGAAAAATAACCATCACATTTTTTCTTATATAAGCCCTACGCGAATGCGTCTACTGTGTTGTCTTGTCATGATTATGGTTTTATTGTGAAACCATTTCGCAAATAATTTATATCTATGACAAATAATTTTAGGTTTACAAAAGGTTTATGTTACTTAAGAGTAATCTAGATCTATTACATTAAGTTAATAGAAAGAAGAAAGAAAGAAAAAAATTTATTGTCGAACCCACATAACACACACAACAACATTAAATATGGGTGAATATAAAATGTAAGTATATAAAATGAATAACATGTAAGTGTTTCTTATTAAAATAAAGACATCAACATATTTCAAATTTCTAAATGCAGGAGGAAAACTCGTCAGTATTAATACATACACA